TGCCCACCTCCTCTTGTGCTGCGGGGGTCTGGGAGTGAGGAGAGTTTCTCTTTCCTTTCTTTCCTTGGGTTTCATAAATACCTAAGAAAACTTGGGAGCTGGGAGGGAGGTTCTTGCTTGTCAGCCCCAGGCACTTGTTGAGGGATGTGATTGGTTTCAGTCATGGACATTACTTGAGAAGTCTCGGGGGTTGCAGAGGCAGAGAGCCCAGGTGGGGACACTGCCTGAGGCATTGCTCTGTGAGGGCAGGCACTGCTGCCAGGGTAGCCACCGTGGTGTCACTGTGACATGCACAGGTGGTGAGGATGTGAGCAACCCTGAGCGGAAGGACTGAGGATGTGGGTGAAGTTTTGGCTGTCTGAGTTATACTTATGGAATCTTTTAAAATTACACACTGCCAAATGGGAAGGTTTTGGTCTTCTGTCAGTATTTGCTGTGGCAGAATTACACAAGTTGGAGATCGTTCCTCCCTCCTATTTTTCCATTATGAACTGGCTAAGAAGAGGAGAGCTTGAATGAACCTCGACAGAAAAGGGGTTGATGTGAAAAGGCTTTTAGACACTCAGAGGGGTTTTAACCATAGTGACAGCTTGGTGCTGTTTCCAGGCAGCTGTGCAGAGCTGTCAGACAAGCAAGGAAGAGCCTGGCCAAGCAGAAGAAGACCTGAGCAGTGTCTGTGGGGGCTGCTCAGTGTGCTTTGTTATCTGTGCATTCAGACTGCTGCCTGGGGAGAATATTAAGGGAGAAGGTAAAGATCTTAAAAATTCATATGCTGTAAAACAAAGACTAGAATATGCTGAAAGATGTGTGAAAATTATTGGGTAGGAGATCCCGAAGTTTTTCTCCCTAGTCTTATCTAGTGACAAAGTTTCAGGAGCTGAGGGAGATTTCTTAGAGTTGGTCACAACATCAAGTACTTGAGCAGAGCTCAAGAAGGATGAGACTGTGTGTGGTGTCTGAGTGGGACTGTCAGTGCTGCCCATGGGCAGCTCTGGCAGCACAGGCACAGCTTCCCCTGCCACATCAGGTGCCTCTGCAGAGTTACTGTGCCATGAGAAGGGCTGTTAGTTCTGCAGTTTGTGCAATTTCATGCTGCTGGAGGAAATTAAGTGCATGTGTGACAGTGAAAATCGTTTGTTTGGCTGTTTAACAAAAATAATGGTCTCTCATCTTCAGCCATCAGAAGTACAGAGCTATTCTGAAGAAAGAAAAGCGAAAAAAAAAGCGGCAGGCACTCGCCAAACTAAGGGACTCAGGTAACTGAGAAGTGTTTTGTCACTGGAGCTACAAGTTATTTCTTTTTCCTTTTGTTTTTTTTTTTTCTTTAAAAGGATATAATTCTGTGTGTCTTTGCTGGCTGTAGCATTCAGTTATTTACATGCACTGTTTTGTGTTTTTTCTCAGAAGCTACAGAAAAAGATGAATCGGTGTCTGAGGAGGAAGAGGAGGAAGTGGAAGATGAGGAGGAAGAAGATGAAGAAGAAAAAAAACTTGAGGCAGAAAGGTGAAAAATCTAGAAAATAGCAAATATGCAGTAGACACATTTGTAGTCAGTTCCATTTTGATACTTTGAAAACTTTCAATATGTTCTGTAGACAGAATCCTTTTTGGATGACACAGTTCCCTAAAACCTGAATGATTCCTATGGAATTTTCTCTTTTAAAGAAGATTAGATAAGCTGTAGTTATTGCTGGGCTAATCAATTTGAATTGTGTGCAGGACAATTGTATCAGTTATGGGTAGACAGTAAATGGGTGGTCTGAGTGGTGTCTGGTTTCCCTGGCAGACAAAAACTACATGAGCAGTGGTTGCTGAGAGAAGAAAAGGCCCAAGAAGAGTTCAAGCTAAAGAAAGAAAAAGAAGAGGCTGCAAGGAAACGTCAAGAAGAAGAAGAGGTGATGTATAAACTGAGTGTCTATTGTGTCTGGCAATAAGGTAGACGTAGTGTAACATCTTGTACTGTTCTGTAAGGGGCCCATTTTGGCTGATGCTGGTGTGTTTGAAAGCACAGGCTCTTCTGTCTTTCGTTCTAGGAGAGCAAAATTGGAAAGGAAGAGAAAACAATAACTTTTTAAAAGGGTTTTTGTCCAGAGTTTTAGTCACTGATGACTGGATGAAAACTTACTGGTCAAGAAGTTGTAATGCAACAAGATAGTTTTGACTTTGATTATAAAGTATTTGTTTCCTTAAATAACTTTTCTTAATTTTTTTTATCATAAAGAGGAAGATCAAAGAAGAATGGGAAGAGCAGCAAAGAAAAGAGAGAGAAGTGGCACAGCAAAAGCAACAGGAGAAGAAAGAAAGAGAGGTGATTCCTGGTGGTGGGAGGATAAACATACTCCATATCCTGTTACATGATCAGATACAGCAGTTATGCATGTTGAAGAGGGATCTTGTTATAAATAACAAATGTGTTGATGTATGTAAATGTGTTGAACAGAATGGAGTGAAGTAACTAAGTTCCTAAAACAATCACCATTAAAGAGCACCTAGTGGGTCCATATTCCTAGAAGGGTAACTCCTTTTAAAGCATCTGGTTGTTCACAGAATGTGATTGTTTACATCAGATAAATGCAGAGGAATGCAAGTTCTGATATGTACAGTTTTTGCATCCTATGTTCAAGATGGTACTTCCTTAACATCCCAGTTGAACCCAGTCAGTGCTGAAGAAAGTGCCCAAAGCAGATATGGAATATGGAAGTACATTGCTGCTGTTCCTTAACACAGCTCCTAATCGAAAGATGTGTTACAGCTCTTCTTTCCCTGACTCATCCAACGGGATGTATCTTTTTCTCAGAGCTCCATGGGTGAAGTGAAAAATGATACTGAGGATAGTGGTCATTAATAACATTTCTGTTAATGGTGCATTCTTCTTAAGTTTTAGAAGTTGAATGACCTGGATGTAAGATGTCCTGTACAGAAATCCAATGTGAGGACTGGCCTGTTGTTGCCAGTGAAGGTTGACTGCAGCTTTCTAGGATCTGGTCATTTCAGATTCTCCACAACCACAAAGAAATTCCAGTCATTCTGCTGAGAGGTGTCTTGCTACTGTGTCTGGTAGCCACAGCAGGAGAAGAGCCACAGTTCTGTCTCCTGCAGTTCATAGTTGGTTGTGTGGCTGATTATGTAACACTTCCATGGGGAATTGCAAAGAACAGCAGTTGTATTTCCTGTCTGACTTCCTCTTGTGTTAAGTGTCCAATTCTTCCTTTGCAGAGTAGGGAGAGAAAATGATGATCGTGTCCTTTATTTAAGGTTGAGGTATAGTTTGAAGAGAGTTGAACCATGGCAGGTTTTTGTTCCTTCCCTCTCTCCTTATGTCTGAGTTTGCCCAAGCCCTCAGTGGAATAATTTGGTTCCCTGAGCTAGATGGAAGCTGCTTTCGTGTTGGTTTGGTTGATTGTTGGCTTGTTTGTTTTTTTCTGGATTACTGTTTTTTAACTTGGCTCATAGAAGGCATTGACAGGCCCAGAGGGGAACTGAGTACCAGCTGGGAGTGGAGCCACTGGTTGCAGCAGCAGCAGGTTGTGTAATTGATTTTGCCTGTGTCTTGAAAGAGCAGGTGATTCAAATTCTACCAGTGATTCAAAAACAAGCCCTTAATTTCCCTCCCTAAGATGCAAACATATATTTTCTGTTTTGGTGAGTGGTAGTGGTTTGGGGTTTTGTTTTGGGTTTGGTTTTTTGTTTGTATGGTTTGGGGAATTTCCGTTTGGTTGATTGGTTTTTGCTGTTCTGTTTTGTTTTTCTTTAATAAGGTGGATAATATCTGACATACTTGGTGATTAGTACCAGATGCTTTCTGCATCCTCATCTTGGATTGCTTTTCCTATTTTTAATTTAATTGCTTCTTTTCCAAATTAGAACCGTGTTAGCATATTTTCTTGTATTGATTTTGTTTAAATGTCTTTTTTCTTGGAACTTCATAGAATAATTTGCTAAAACTGATTTCTAGCCCAGTTTGGAGAGTGACTATTGTTTTGCTCAGCCCACCTAGAAGAAGGAAGGGGAAGAATATCCTTATTGTTTTTCTCTATTTGGAAGGCTAAATACAGTTAACTTATGATGTTTAAGTTTCTCAGCAGTTCCATCTTTTGCTTTAACAGAAGTTCACTGAGCACTGTGTTTTTTCTGTATAACTTAAACACAGAATGTGTACATTAAAAAGTTTAGCATAACTAAACAACTATGGACTTAACTGTAACCACACTTTGTACTAAAACAGAAGATATATTGAAGTATTCAATAGCTGAATGACAGTTTTAAAAATGAAAATTAAACTTCTGTGTTATCATTTAGATTAGAGAATCATCTATGTGAGGGTCTTGTCTGATGTATCCTTTAACAGCTTTGTGGTGCGTGACTTACCACAGAGCCAAAGTAAATCTGCTGTTTTTAAAGCAAACCCCATCGAACTTATTATGCATAATCATTGAGTATTGTAAATTAGGTTCTTAACTAAAGAAACCAGATGTTTTGCATGTCCTCAGGGTTTTCACTAGTCCTGTGTTTGCACCATTTATAGGCAGCTGTGCAGAGGATGCTGGATCAAGCTGAAAGCCAGGTATGCTCAGAGACTCGCTGAAAAAGAACTGAAAAGTAATTTAATTGCCATCCGGTGTTTGCCTTCTAGCATGCTGTCCATCTGCTCTCAGGAACCTAATGGCCTGAATAAATTTAATATATAGTGGCTTGCATGAGCTGTAAACAATTATTTACTGGGTGGAACATAATGAAGCATATTTCTGGCTGGTTGGTGGCAGTGCAGTTGTGCATGCTGATGACTCTTCAGGAGATTTGAGTCAAAATGAACCTGGAAGTACTGCTGTGTGCAGTTAAAAAACACTGTGCATGATGGTTTGTTTGTGGATTGTAATTCTAAATAAATCTGTCAGTCCTGGGTGGCAAGGCAGACTTGTCTTTTTAAGCAGATGGCTGGTTCTAAATAAAAGGATTCAGCAGTAGAGGAGGGCACAGCTCCTTAAGAAAAAGAAAATAAAAAGGTGGGGGAGGGGGAAGCTGGCTGCTCAGATGCCTGGAAGAGCATGGATCTCAAGCTGGCAGTGTGTAGCAAAGAAAACTGCAGTTTTCATTTGATGTCTTAGAGATTGCCTTAAAGAATAATTTGGCTTTTTATCCCTGTCATATGATTAAACTTGAGGAGATTCTTGCTCTGTTTCAGCCACTGCATGAATCTGAAAAATAATTTTTCTCCTAGTTAACCCATTGTATGTTGATTGCTATAGCTACATTGGAGTTGCATTCAGTTCCAAATTATGTTTAAACAGCTCTTTAAGTAGAGAATCTAACTCTGTTTCATAATATGGGCAGAGAAATGCTCTGAACTGCTACCTGCCTGCAGCTCAAGATGTATTAGCCATTTCTGCAAATGAATAGGCAGAAATGTGGTACATTAGAGTCTGCATTATAGTATCAGTTCAGGGTTCAGTTACTGCTGAAGTGACAGTGCTGTTCTGGGGAGAGAAAATTGCAGCTGCGAGTCATGAACAGAACTGATAGCAGGGTCAGATGCTACTTGTAAATAAAGAGAGTTTTCAGCTGATGTAAGATGAGACTTAGGCTGCTCAGCTTTACAGATCTTTTGGTTAAAATGAAATTCCCTTTTTTAAATGTGTGTTTTGTTTGTAGTCAGTCAAGGCTTGCAATTTGCTAAGCCTGTTTTTAATTACAGAAATCTTGGTGGCCCAAGACAATCAGTTTGGATGCATTTACTTCCAGTGCTGATTATGAATTTATTTTTTTTTTTAAATTCTGACCTTTGGCAGGTTACTTTTATTTTACGTCTTTCTAGACACACAATCCAGTGATAATGCTAAACTTACTGAGCTTTGAGTTATTGCAGAGACAAATAAGTAAATGGTTGTAGCTTTCTCTCTGCCCAGGGTATGCTGGTTTGGCTGGGGTAGAGTTCATTTTCTTCACAGTAACTAGTATGGGGCTGTGTTAAGGATTTGTGCGGAACACAGGGGTGATGATGCAGAGATGTTTTTGTTATTGCTGAGAAGTTCTTACACAGAGCCAAGGCCTTTTCTGCTTCCCACACTGCCACACTGGCAGGGCAGGTGGGAGTGCATGGGGGGCAGCTGGGGTGGCTGGGGTAGAGTTCATTTTCTTCACAGTAACTAGTATGGGGCTGTGTTAAGGATTTGTGCGGAACACAGGGGTGATGATGCAGAGATGTTTTTGTTATTGCTGAGCAGAGATTGCACAGAGCCTTTACCACTTTCCATACTGCCACGCTGGCAAGGAAGTTGGGGGTGCATGGGAGATTGGGAGGAGAAATAGTCAGGACAGACACTCAAGCTGACCAAAGGGGTATTCCATACCATATGACATCATGCTCAGTATATAAAGTGGGGGGAAGAAGGAGGAAGGGGGATGTTTGGAGTGATGGTGTTTGTCTCCCCAAGTAATCATTACACATGATGGAATCTGACATTCCTGGGGATGGCTGAATACCTGCCTGTGCATGGGAAGCAGTAAATTCATTCCTTGGTTTGCATTGCTTGTGTGCAGCTTTTGCTTTCCCTATTAAACTATCTTTATCTCATCTCAGTGAGCTTTCTGCCTTTTACCCTTCCCGTTCTGTCTCCTTGATCCCACTGGTGGGGGAGTGAGTGAGTGGCTGTGTGGGGTTTGGCTGGTGCCTGGGGCTTGGCTGCAAAGTGAGAACCAAGGCACTGGGCAGCTTTATAAAACAATGCTTTACATAGGTTCAGCTTGCCTTGTAGTAATGGTGTTCAGAATTGCATATGGATTTCACTGGTAGTATTATTTTGACATTGCATTTCTTTATTGTTTCCTAATTTCTGTTCATTTTAATGATTTTTTTTCCACAGCTGGAGAATGGTGTGACTTGGCATAACCCAGAGCCCCCAGAGAATATGGGAACAGAGAAGGATAGAGCAAATTGCCCATTCTACATTAAAACAGGTTCCTGCCGATTTGGAGACAGGTAATCTACTGAATATTTACCAACATAGAAGTGTTGTGGGGAGATGGAAGGGAAACAACCTTATTAGGTCATATGCAAACTGAAGAAAAATTGCTGTATAAAGTAGTTTGATGTATTCGGTTGTGGATTGAGAGCTGAAGTGTTGCTTGGCTAGAATGGAGCTATTTATTGTTATGGCATATTATTGATGGTGCATTCCAGTTACATTGGCCAAACTGAGTTTTCCTTAGCTCTGACACATGCACAGATACATTCAAATAGAATATATTTGGTTTGTTATTAGTGCAGGCCTGATATGTCAGATGTTGGGGGATTTTTATGTTTTCTAATTTCATGTGTTGCATTATCCAAAAGATAAAATCAAATCTCAGATGGACTAAAGCAAGTTAAGGCAAATCTGCACAGTTGGGAATGCTGTCATGTAGCTTCCAGAATTCTCCTGTCTGAACACTATTTAAACATGTGATACATTCATCCTTTACTCTTGTATGCTGATAGGGTGTCCTGTCTCAGGAAGGAAGTCTAAAAGGCAAGAACAGAGGAGGACCAGGATGGTCAGAGATTAGCAACAACTTCTGTAGAAGTGGTTGACAAGTCCAGACACTGTGTTCAAAGAGGGGATGGAAAAGGGCTGTGGTAGGTGAACAGCAAACTCATGAATACGATGGGAAGGATTATTTGCAGTCTAGTTAGGTGTCTCTGGGTGTTTACTAGCTTTAAAATAAAGGACTTTCTCATATGAAACCAACGGCAAAACTTCTTGCCAGAGGACATAGAGGAAGCCAAAAGAGTCATGGAGTACATATTCATCAGTGACCAGGAACAATGATGACCCAAGTGCAGCATCTGGCTAGAAAGTCCTTGATCTATTTTTTTTTTGTGTTGAGGAGGAACAACAGCTTAGCAGGGAAAGACTGATATTTATTTCATGAATCTTCAGCCTAAACCATTAAGGCTGTTTTACTGACTTGTATCACTGAAATGTGTGTGGTTCAGCTATGATAGTTTTCTTTATCCTAGGAGTAATTTGTTTCAGTGTGATGTATATTGTGGATAATTATGTGATAATTCAAATCTCTGGAAGCTTCAAGTCCACATTTTTTTTTTTGCTCTTCTAAAATATGTATTGAATTCCTTAATAAGCCTTTGGCCAGCTATTCCACTGTAGACAGCATTTTTTTCTGCTCAGATGTCGAGGTCTTTGTAATCTTTGCTGCATTTTTGTTTCAGTGGTATTTAATGGAGGTAACCTCCATGGATTATTTATGGAATGTATTAAATGCAGTTTTGCTTTGAACTATGAATAGCCTTGGAAAGTAAATACTGAGAAACAACATATTCTGCCCTTCTTCATTCACCCATAGTTGTTGATCTCAGCTACTTCTCCTTCATCTTCCTTCTTCTTCCTCACATACCTCTTTCCTTCATATTCTGGTCATTTTAACCCCTGGTTCTGTCTGTAAGTTGCAGGGCAGACACAGCTTAGGGTAAGGACTGGAAGGATGAGTTGGAAGCAGTTGTGAAAAACTGAGAGCCAGTTTTATGAATAAGTAATTGTTGAATCTTGACAAAGCTCACTATGTCTTGAAGAAACTAAAACTGTCTTGAGTTCACCACTATCAATTTCCCCAGTAATTCAAACCCTAATATTTTGCAGTAATACCGGATTTTGGGATCCTTGATTTTCCTTGGGGTTTCTTTTGTACTGTCATGTGCTATAGTCATTTTGTGTACAAACTGCATTGGTTGGGTTTAATATTTTGAGTTCCAATAGACCAGTGATAGGAAGAAGCTTCTAAAACATAAAAATAATAACAATAATCAAATTAATTATCTCTAGTTTTAGTTTTGGGTTTGAAGATTGGGGGGTTTTTTGTTGTTTGTTTTTTGATATCTAAGGTATCAGCCAGAAGGTGAGAGTCAATTTCCAACTGACTGGATGCAGAAAAAAACTTTCCAGGTGAAGTCTAGGTTGTAATTGCCCATTTTGAGACCTGACCTCCCTGCAGTTTGTCTGTGCTGTGCCAGTGCTAGATGAAGAGGTTAGACTAGTCTGGCTGTTTTCTGATCACATGAAAAGAAAAGTGTTGGCAAGTGCATGATCCAGTTGCCTGGAGAGGTGTTTGAAATGGAGATCATAAAGCACAGTGAACTAAACATGGAAGCTAACATCTGTGTTCTTACTGAACCCAAAGGGGAGAACTGTATTTCAGCGTGTGAGGGAGGTAGCCTGAATATGATGGATGGTGAGGGAGACCTAGTACTTTTATGGCTGCCAAGAAGATGCAGATTAAGATAAGACTGACTTAGAAGAATTATTTTTTTTTTTCAGAAGTGGAAAAATACCAGTCTCATACTCATCCAAGTGCAGGTCTAAACATGCTCTCCATCCTTCACTCCCTCTCTCTACCCACCATGTGATGAGAACAAGTTCAGTAAAAGTTGTTCAGTTTGCAAAAAGAAGAGGAGGGACTTGCTCTAAAGTGCATTAAAAAACAGTCAGTAGTCTTTCTGGATAGCCCTTCAGAAATGGGGAACACATTTAACCCTAGTAGCCTAAAAGAAATTACTTGAGCTCTCATTGTGACACTGATATCTATAGCTTTTGTAGATGTGGGTTTTTTAAGCAAGAACGTATTTATGCATGGCAGGAAGAATTGAGATTGTGTGCAAACTTACTCCGAAAGATTTGGTTTAGTAATTGAAATATGTTGATCTTCCACTGATGGATTTGCTTTTATAATAACTGTTACTGAAAATGGCAAATGTTTGAAACTTCAGCAGGTGCATTTTCTGCTGAAAGTGCCAATCTTTCCACTTGTCTTTCTTCACTGGGGATGTCCAGGTGTTCTCGCAAGCATAACTACCCAACATCTAGCAAGACACTACTCGTGAGAGGGATGTTCATTACCTTTGGCATGGAGCAGTGCCGGAGGGACGACTACGACACGGATGCAAGTCTTGAGTACAGTGATGAGGAGACCTACCAGCAGTTCCTGGAGTTCTACGAGGATGTGCTCCCCGAATTTCAGAACGTGGGGAAGGTTGTTCAATTCAAGGTATCACCTGAGTGCAATAGCTTGTTAAATATGTAACATATACCATGGAAGTTATATTTTTGTAGCCTTAAGAGAGATTCTGTCCAGCATGTCCTAGCTAAGTCCTATGTGTATTAGAAAGCTATACAGTGTCCTTACAGCAAACTCTGCATCTCTCCTGTCACCTGTAAACTTGTCACTGCTGTTATAGAGCATTGTCTTACTCTGGGTCAGTCTTCTCTCCCACTCCCCTGAATGGTTATAAAAGCTTGTGCTTTTATATTGCAAGTTACTCATACTGCTCAGCAATCCCCTTACCTCACAGTGCCTTCTTTACTTATCCTGTGCTAAGCCCCAGAGGCTCCACTAAGACTGCTAGACAGTATAAATACATCTGAGCTACTCTATTTGTGCCTAAGGAATGAAATAGTGAAGCATACACCCAAATGACGTCATGGCTGGATCAAATCAAATCAAATTACAGTGAACTGAAAAGGTAGTAGATATTCTAGTAGGAATATGTTACATAAATGGTGTTGAGATTTGTCACCCATCCTTAGTTTGTGCATTTGGTTTGCTGAATATTCTGTACAGAATTTTTCTCATTTATATTGTGATTTCTTATGGGGAAAAAGAGCAATCTGTAAATGGAGATCTTAGAGATGAATGTTGTTTGTTAAGAGCCCCATGTTGCCCCAAACTAGGCAGCTTGGATGTTATTGCAGCTTCCCTTTCTGCTTGGCATAAAAAAAACAGGAGGCACACAGTGCCTTTTCTCCTTTTGTTTCCATCTACTGACAGCTGCCTCGGGACTCACACTGCATTAGCATTTCAAGGAAGAGGGAAGTAGAAAGAGTGAATTTTTCAATAGTTGTATAATCAGCTTTATAGGTAGGAAACCTTCACTTGTTTGGAGAGGTATCTCCTCCATATTTTGACTCCTGGGATATGAGCAAGCTGTGCCCTGTCCTAGAAGACAGGATATCTATTCCCTATGGAGCGTGGATTGAAACGCTGTTACCAGCAAACTCAGGTCCTCGACTGCTGTTGTTCTGTGCAGTTGTGCTAAGATGCACCTGCTCGGGTCCCTGTAACTGTTAGTGTGGCATTCCACAGCTTCTGAGGCAATTGTACAACCGCAGTCTGATTCTTCTGGGCATTTTCATTACATTAGAGATGCTTCAGAATGACATGTTGGCTGCAGGGCTCGTACCTGTGATAGAGCCGAGTCTCTGCTACCACTTAGAATCAGATTATACACACCCCTCTTTCAGCTGATTTCCTTTTCCAGTGTAGCCCAAGGTTTTATTCCTGTTGTTCTTTCTGAGAAACTCCTCCAGAATCTGGAAGACCCTGACAAAACACTCTTCTTTTCCCACCCAAAAATGTCTAAGCCAAAAACCATTCTCACTTCTTATTGTATTGACATTGTTTAAATCAAATAGTTTGACTGCTCACCCTGCAATATTTAATTATACAACAGCTTGTTGTTGTGTGTGAAGCCTTTCCTGATCCAGTGCACAAAGAGGTATTCTGTGAGGGTCAGTCAGGGATGAAAGGAGCTGCTTGCTGTGTTCTGTGTGGATATTGGAAGAGGCCTGGGGGCAAAAGAGTCTGTGGGCTCACAGTTCTGCCCTGGAGAACTGGCTTCTACCTGCTTGGGCCTGCCTGTCTCAAAATCTTTTGTGACTAGCAACAAGGTTTTTGGAAGGTAAATTGTGTGTATCTGAGAGTTTTAGATATACTTGGAATGCTAAATCATTATGAAGAAAGGAGTTTCAGAACTGTACACTGAAAGCTACTGACTGGCTTTTCTAACCCATCTCATGGGGATGCTGGGAAGGTAAATTGCTCTAAAGAGTCTCTTACCAAGTAATGAATCCCACATTTCCACATGAGGATACTACTAATTGTTTTCTTAGTTGCTGCTAATTGGATTTGGCTGTTGCACAGTAGGATTGGCCCAGACAAGTGCAAGACAATGGAGTACAAGCTGTCTGAGTGTTCAGAAGGAAATCATACACAAGTTGATATCGATGAGCTGTGATAAATGAGAGTGGCTACCAGCTCAGCAGCCATGAGCTTCTGTGTGGCACAAACCTTCTGCTGTGCTAACTGAGTGTTTCCACCCCCTTAGGTCAGCTGCAACTATGAGCCTCACCTGCGAGGAAATGTCTATGTCCAGTACCAGTCGTAAGTACTCACAGTCTTGTTAAGTGTTTGAACTAGTTCCGATGAAGGAACACTGTATACTCCATGTGATTCATTCTCATACTGTAATGGGAGCCCAGAGTTGGTAAGTGACATCTGAGCTGGTTGTGTGGTGGTAACTGTGTCGTTTTCACTCTCTGAAGGGAGAAGGACTGTCAGGCAGCTCTGGCGCTGTTCAGCGGGCGGTGGTACGCGGGCAGACAGCTCCACTGTGAGTTCTGTCCTGTCACCAGGTGGAAAACTGCCATATGTGGTGAGTCATGTAAACACTTGGAAAAGAGAGTGTGTGTTCCTGAAAGAGTACTTAAGGAAGTGAAAAAGAGGGATTAGTCTGTAGCTTTCAGAGCTGCCTAATGTAGTTAATTTCTGTTCGGAAGACAAATGTGCTAACTTGCTAGTGTAGATCTAGGAAAGAAAGGAAATACTATGCCATGTCACCCAAGTGTCTGAATCATTCTGGTAAAATTACCTTGGACTGGAAAAGAAAGTTTGGATTCTGTCTTTGGAAATAATAATCTTAAAGTGAAACTAAAACAAATTCTAATTTGTCTCTTGAAAAGCAAGAGCAGTTTCTGAATTGTCACCTTTTCTCAGCAGTAACTATCACATTTGACTTATCTAGATTTACATTCTTAGATTAAGGAAATGAAAATGAAATTTGTTTTAAGCTAAAACCGTCATAGCTGTTAAAAAGTTAATTCCGAGAAAAGCACATCATGAAAATTAATCTTGTGTGAATTAATTTGATACGTGATCAGATGCATGTTTTTCTGTTTGGAGAAGCAAAATTCAGTTTAATTAAGTTCCTTTCCAGTAGGCACATAATGAGGAAGGAGATTTAACAGGTCTGGTTTATGAAAAAGCAAACCCTCATCTGTTGCAGGCTTATTTGAAAGGCAGAAGTGTCCAAGAGGGAAACACTGCAACTTTCTTCATGTGTTCAAAAATCCAAACAATGAGTTTTGGGAGGCCAATAGAGACATCCGTATTTCTCCTGAACGGACTAATCAGTCTAAGAACTCTGAAAGGAGAAACAGGTCGAGCCACCGCGATGACTATTACAGCCGGTCCAGGAGAAGGGGCAGCCCGAGCCCAGATCATTCCTACCGGAGAAATGGAGAATCCGAGAGAAAAAAGAACCGCCGCAAAAACAAGAGGCGGCGCCGGTCAGGAAGGTCACGGAGCCGAGAGAGGAGGAGGTCTCACAGCAGAGGGAGGAGGAGGAGAGGTCGCAGCCGCAGCCGCAGCAGAAGTCACAGCCGAACACGCAGCAGGAGCAGGAGCAGGAGCAGGAGCTCCTCGCGATCCAGGAGCAGGGGTAAAAAGAGGTCGAGCAGCAGAGGGAAAAATAATGAAACTCCCAAAACAAAGTGAGAATTACTTTTAGAAATTGCTAATTGATTGAAAATAGAGCTGACAAAGAAATCTTTCCGGTAGGGCACCAGATATATTTGAGTCTCCAATAAAGGGTTCTTGCACATTGAAATGTTTCTACCTAATAAAGGAACTTAGTTTACTGTGTGCTAAGCTTCAGGAAATGAAAAGTTTAAGGCCTATAGAAGATGTGAACGTCAAGTACTCTAGCTCCTCTGTCCCTCTGACTGCTGCAACACCTGGATACACACTGAGTACGAAGAGAGAAGTAAAGCTCTTTGGTGTATGCTTATTTCTGTGTTATGTGTGTGTTAAGTGTTTACTGTCCCTGTAAGGAGTTAGTGCAAACAGCCAGTCAGTCCACACCCAGCACTGCAGACTGAGGTCTGTGTGGGCGACTGCTGTTTGTATTTGTCATCGTCAGTGGGAAATCTCTTTCTATACAAAGTAAATATAATCCTGTTATGAGTTGGAGAAAAAGGACCTCAAAGGCATCACTGTTTGATTGTACAATACTTGCCCAGTAGGAGCTTTGTGGTCATGAGTGTTGGATTTTTCTCTCTCTCTCCTGACTGAGCTGCTGAGCTAATTGCTTGTAGGGATTGCAGTAGACTAAAACCAAGTAGGAAGTACACAGAAAAACAATCAATTTATTCAGTACCTTAATCCCCAAGTAAGAGTGGAGACCATACAACTGTAATCCTCAAGTGAGGATAGAAAATACTTCACATACCTCTTGGTTGCACACCATTTGTAGGTGAAAACAACCTGCCTAACCTGTGCTGGAGGGGTAGAAAGTGTCCATCTGGGTACCAAAGATGCAGGTGTGACTGTGAAGGCTCAATCAAGATGGTTGCAGAATGGCTGAAGAAACCGAAGGTTTTATATCTGAAACAATACTTTATGCTTTTGGGAGAGGAGGACTTGACTTAAAGGCTTTTTAGGTTTATTTTACAAGCAGTTTTAAGGCACCCTACTGCCTCACTTTCCTACGGCCAAGGTGAAGAGTAGGGTATATAAAAATGAAGTTATTGGGACAAAACCTTTTTGAAATGACAGCTATATTAGCAAAGTACCTGCAGTTAGATAAATCCTTTATCCACAAGTATTTTTTCACTTTTAAATGAAAGATTTGTGCTGTTAGATGAACTGTACTTCACATGGCTTAACTTCAGGTGTTAACTTAGGCACGTGGGTGTCCTGAGACACTTGGAGAGAGCAGCTCGTGGCACTGACGGTGCAGGTGCCCTGAACAGTCTGCAGAGATACCTTCCTCTTTTTAGCCTTTCCAAAGAACTTAGGCTCTTGCCTTTAGAGTACAGATCAGACCCTATGAGTTAGAAGCCTAAAGTAGGCATGAAGTGCTCCCAACCAGGTATTCATTATGATTCCAGCAATGTAATGTAAAGTGTAGAAAATTGGATATCCAAAACTGCCAATAGCATTCCTCACAGCAAGAACATGTTTCCCCCAGGATAGTTAAGATAGAGTGGACATTGCTTCTGGATATAGTATATATATTTTGCTTTTTTAAATGCATACTGCACCTAGCATGCTGACTATACATTTTTCCTTCTTTCTTCATGTGTAACTGTTGTCCAATATGGAGTAATACAACAAAAGTGCTATATTGATGTTCAGTTCAAACCCAACTTTCACTATATATTGTCATAACTGTAGGCAGAGCTGTAGCATAGTTAATTTGATTAAATGTTTTAGTTATCAACAGATGTAGGAACTGTAATTTAATGGCATAACTTTTGAAATAATAACTTTGTTTGAAAGGTGTATTTCAGAGGATAGACAGCACTAAGTTTTAAATTCCATTTGGGAAATTTGTGACCGCCAGTTTCTCATTAACGTATCTTTTTTCTTACAGACAGATTTTCCCTGAGGTTTCTGGTTTTTCATAGATGCTTAATTGTCTAGTTGGGTCAGTTGTGCAGCACGTGGCAAACTCTGGTTCAGTTCCCTGGAGCAGAACTGAACTGGCATTTCCTGCGTGCAGAGACACAGACACCAGCAGGCTGGTAACACCTCCTGGGCCCTGGGGCTGCCTTGTGTGCCAGGGCTGTGCTGCTGAGCCAGCCTGCTGCAGTGGGAGAGCTGAGCTGTGCCACCTGCAGACACTGTGCATCCCATGGGATGCAGTTGGCTATTGCAGAGCATTATCCCAGCAAAATCCAGCTCAAGTCAGAGTGGTGGAATGGGTGGTGGGAACCTGTGACCTTTTGGGTGAAATAAGCAAAGCAGGACTCCGTGGGATTAGAAACTAAGTGCCAACTAAACACCCACGTGAGAATTCCACAGGTAATTAGGCTCCTTGTCCCACAGTTTTGTAACGGGATCTGGGGAGCTGAGTGGCTGTGGGTTTTTTTAAGAAAAGGTTCTTGTAATTTAAAAAAAAAACTTGCTCAGAGATGCATGTGAAAATTTAAATATACTTTATTTCTGCTACTACAATGGCTGAAGCTTCAGCTTCCTTTTCTTGAGGTCTGGACCCAACCACGCTGGCTGTACCTGTGCAGTGTAGGACTGGCAGCTGTGATTGCCACACACCTTCATTCACATTTATTACAGAGTCTGAGTGCTGTAGGTCTGACATTTAGCTTGCATTTGCTAGCATGAAACCTGGGATTCAGCCAGTTTTCTAACTTCAGAGTTCATATTTTTCAGTATTGTTTCTCTACTTCATAACCTTAAGTAGTGTTATATGCATGGTTTTGTGTTTCCTTATTAGCTGAGTGAGCTATTTATTCTGAAGAGACAAAGAGTCTAGAAGTTTCTAATGTTAAGCTTAATTCTTTTCTTTCCCAAAGGGGAGAAGCCCCAGAAGAACACAGAAAGGACTTAAATTTGCAAGGAATACCCTGTTCTCACTGAGTGTTATTCTGCGTGTTGCATAGTAAAGGACCTTATAAAGTGAATTGATATTGGCCAACTTAAGTTTTGTTTTTAATGACTGCTCAAGTGCAGCAGCTTTCAAAATTCGTTTTTCCAGTGGTGAATTCTGCAGGGATCAGGGAGGTGCTTTGGAGTGATTCTGAGAGCAGGTGTTTACACAGAGCTGCAGGAAGGGGGTCAGGGCCTCACAGACAGCCCTTTCAGTCAGGATGAGGAGCAGGCACTGCTCCTGCCCCTCCGTGGGAGCACAGCCCAGCTGGGCAGCGAGGCTGCCTTGTGCCAGCAGCAGAAGGGGAATAGTGACAGCACAGTGGGAGCCCCTTTAGACACAGAGGCACTATTGCTGCCCAGCAGTATTAAGGCATCAGGGAACTGGGCTTGCCCCTCGCAGCAGTGCCCTCCCTCCAGTTGTAGCTGGTGGCCACTTCGGTGGGATTTCATTCCCTCTCTGCCTGTTGGGAGTGTTGAACCCCCAGCACAGGGTGAGGAGGGGTAGCACGAGTCTGTGTCAATGCAAGGCATTTCTTACAGAGGGGTGAGCAGACTGAAAGGCCTTCCCTTTCTGGCCCTGTCCCTTGCTCCTAGGGCACGACCTCTGACATGCATCCTAGGTGACTCCTCTCCCAGCTGTATGCCCTGTGGTGGTAGCTTGGCTTCTCAGACTTGGTTCTGTGTTAGCACATTCAGTGTATCAGAAACTGCCCTCGAGTTGACCAGTGACATTCCTGTGCGCTTTGTAACTTGTTTTCTCCCAAAGACATTCGAGAGCCTGCTTAGAGATGCTACTGCTTCCTGTCCTGGATCAGCACTTCTTACAAAATCATGAAAGTCTATGCTAGTTAGTAACTTAAAAGCTTAATTTACTTTTTTACATCACCTGGAGAGTGCAGCTCGTTTTGCTTTCACTGTAAGCTTGTTGTAATTAAATTAAACCCCAATTATTCTGCATGTACTTCTGTTCCACACTGATGTATCAGCTGAGTTCAGTCTCTATGGTCCGAGAACAAAAGGGATGTAATGCTGACAGGCACCACTTTGTGAAGCCATGAGACAGACTGCACAGCAAGCCCTGCAAGCAGAACCCATGGCACATGGTAACTCAACAAAGGCAGCCACAGGGTGACCAGAATTGTGGCCATAACCCAAAAGCAACAGCTGATGTTTAGGAAGGCCTCTTCAAGCTAAAGACTTAAAAGTCAGTGAAGTTGAAGACACTCATGCCAACAATCAACTTGTCTAAACAATCCAGAAATTCTGATTCTTCAGCTCCCCTCCCACCCCCTCCCCACAAGATAGGAAATTCAAGAAAAAAAAATTTATTTCATATTAGATTTAAGAGTTGCCTGAAGATGGTAAGTTTTCCCCATGCTTTTGCTGATAACATCAACCAGTTCTGTTCTTTTAGAGAAGGTGGAGAACAGATTAATCTAAGAAATTTTTGGGTAAGACCAGGATTGTGAATGTTGCATTGACTTGCTCAGAATACCTTGTAAGGAACTGAATATTAAGTCTGTATTATCCAGAACTCTCTCAACATGTGGTTTAATTTTCAAATGAAGTGGCACTACCACATCAGTTTAACATCCACTTTAATAAAGTTCATGTTTAATGTGGTAAGCCTTCCAAAAATTTGCTAATTTATTGCTTTCTGTACAATTTAAATGGATGTAAATAACTAATCTTGGACACACTATACTCAACATTTTTTAATGAAGTGCTCAAGAACAGGTTAAGCACTGTAATAAAATTTCCCTTTTTTTTAAGCTAGCACTGAGTAGCCTCTTCTTTCCTCTGTGAACATCAGCACTAATTACACATAAACACACAGCAGTGGTGTAAAAATGGACATTTATTACAACTAAACCAATGTGACAGACAGAGGTCAAACAGTTTGTCACAATCACAACAAAGCTTAATCCAGCCAAGCACATACAAGTGACAGGTGTAAACTTTAAAAACATGTTTAATACATATAAAATTGTTTCTGGTTTGACTTAAAGTAATTTTATCACTTCAATCTCATACACAGTCATTCTGCTACCACTCTACCTTCATCTATCCCTGTGCACTGGGGAGATGTCCTGGGACAAAAGCAGTCTCTGGCACTCTGGGATCTCTCTATGTGTAAATCCTAGACAGGCTTAAACTGACAAATTCTAATGCCTTGAGTTTACAGACACCACCCCTAGCCCTGCCCTGTGGCAGCATTTCTGCTGCCACAAGCATTTGTGCTGGGATCTGGATCAAGGGCCTTGGAAGAGGCAATGTGCGTCTTTCCTAGTGGGTGTCACTCAGCCATGGTCCCATGGAGCCCCCAGCACAGCTCTCCAGCTGCCAGCAGCACTGCCAGAGCTAAGTTTTGTGAAAATATGGCATTACTCTGGCAAACAACCCAAATGTTGACTCCTAGAGTGAGGCTACTGGGGAGGGGAAGGGACAATCCATCCCACCTTCATGGGGACCATGCTGACACGTGGCAGAGCTTGGCTACCCCCAAGTGTGGCACTACCTCCTCAAAACCCAAACCCATACATGAATCAAATCTCCTTAAGTCCAATAGGTTTAAGTCATAACTACCCAAAGTCTGCTCAAAGTGTCCCAAGTATTCCTGGATATCAGTTCACATGATTTGCAGTGAATATACTATATAAATCTAATATTTAAGAGCTCTCACTGCAAATGAGTTGGTTCACCTGTACATCATGGAGTTAGTAAAGGAGGTGTTACATGTTTAAGGTGTACATCAAGAAAAGCAGTTAAAATGACACTGACACTTAGTGTGGGGTTTTTCCTAAAGGTACCTATACACCCATTAATGCATAACTATAAAACACCAATAAATACAAATTAATAGTAGACTTTGAAAGAGAATAAAAAGTCCCTTTTGAAAAGCTCCTTCTTTCCCATCTCTGACAGTATTCAATTTTCATGATGCACATCTCTGTACAGTCAAAAAGCCAAACTCCTGTCTTGTGTTCATGATCAGAGCAAGCTAATATCAGACCTAAAAATAGTTTCCTGATTTGGTTTGGATTTTTTTGACATGCATTCCCTTTTTTGAATAGTAACTTGCACAGTTTTGCTCAAGGTAGCTACACTGAAATACACCTTCATGGCTAGTGAGTTGATCAGTTTGCAGTTTTCTTGCAAAAAGCCTTAACAGTTTTTACCAGTTTGATATGCAGATCCTGGCAGGATTCTTTGGTATAATGACAAATTCAGTAGTAAACAGATATTTCTGATCTTTATGCAACAACTGAAATAAGCAGAATTATCACAAGTGGTGACTAAAATGTAGATGAACAAATTCTTTGGTTGCATAAACACAATTTCTACACCATAACATTTCATAGTTGGAGATGTCTATGTAGTTTCTTTTCATTTAGATATGCTATATCATAATAATACATTTATTTCCTGAAGTCAAATTTGCTTATAAAAAAACAGTACACTTACTGAAGTCAAATGCAATTTTCCTACAAATGCAATGAAGGGAGACACTGAGTCAATTTAAATCTAATTCCCTTTCATTTATAAATTTTGAACTTAGGTTTCTTGTTCCCTTTTCAAAAAGAAGTCTTTTTCTTGTAGGCCTGAATGAAGCAGCTTAGCAAAACAGTAATACTGACAAACAGCATCTTACACCATTAGCTAAACATTACAATGAAGGCAGTGAACATTTACAGTATGGAACACTGAGATGTCATCAGCTGAAGTGAAGATTTATGTCAATCCAATTTCTTCAAGTACACTACGTGGGGTCTCTGCTTCCTAGGGAGGGAAAATGTGAGACAGTAGTAAATGAACCCTGTGTTTCTACTGAGCAGCTCTGTACATGAGTTAGTATGGAAGATGCTGAATTAAAAAAGAAAAGCTGAAAGACACGAAAACATAAGTACTGCAGTTTGCAAACATGGTATTAGCTGCACTTCTCACAGATGCTGTTAATTAGATTGCCATGGTTCACAGGAATAGCTGGTAGGTTTATTGCCCTTAAGCATAATAAAAACAAAACAATTCAGATGGACCAGCAGGAAACAAATCACAACCCAGTAACAGAGAGGGGAACTGGGGAGGGATGGGGGAAGCATCTTGCAATGGAGTCAGTGATTTTTGTGGTAAATTGTTTCATGGGTCTCAAAAATCTGTTAGAAGAATGAATATATGGATGAATTAAACTACTGATGCAACTAAGATACAGTATCCCTTCAGCTCCTTGTAACAAGTCTAGGGTTTTGCACAGTGATCCCATGCTCAGTTCAGCAAACCAGGTCAAGGTCCCTTGGTGTGCCTGGTGTCAAATAAATCAACCCCTTTCAGACATGGAAGAATTTTTAAGACAGGAATCTTATTATTCCACACCAGGCATAAAGTTTTAGGTTAATTCTAATCTTAAAAGGCTTTGTTTACATTCAGAGCGAGTTGTTTAATACCAAATTCCAAAGGATTATACTCAGTTTTGTATTCATTATTTCCATAGCATCTGAATAGAAAGAGCAGCTTAACTAGAAACATTGGGCTCACCTTTTCCATAATTATTAACAATGTCATAGGAAATAAAAAGGGATACTGTGTCCTTATGGAAACATGAACAGCTTTAGTATTAAGAATATGAATAAACTTACTTTAGCATCCTAAAACAAGACATGTCATGCAGCAGAAAAAAGGGCAGATAACAGTTAAGGCAGCCAACAAATTATTTTTCAACTGCTTTCTGAATATTTATTAGAAAAAAATTGTCAGCAAAATACATAATTAAACACCTCAAATCTTGAAAATAACATCATAACATTGTCTCTATCAACCTTGACTATGTAGCACAAAATCAAGTTTACTGTCCTCATTCAGCTCATGTATAAGGTGATTCCGCAGTGATGGAACAACCTATGATACTTTAAAGGCAACTTCATTTCAAAGTCAGAGCTTGGAATAAGCTACCTCTGGCACTTTGAGATGCCTTCCAAAATCCAGCAGCAAATAAGAAATTGCAAGAAAAAGCCAAGTTAAATCTGGAAACAAGATACTTGTTTAGCATTAAAGATGTAACGGTGCTGTGGGTTTTTTTCCTTACTGATGCAATATTTAAATATTCTTAGAACTGGAGTGACCCTGATAAAGCCAGGCAGGATGGGAGGATTAAAGATTTAGATGTGTATTTTAACACAAATCCCCCCAAAGGAGACACTGATTTGAAGAAATGGCTGTGTAGCATTTTAAATATAACCTGTTGTATTATATTCCTAGATGACTTTGTTGCATTCATTTTGGAACACAAGTGTCTCCCCTAGCCACCAACTCAAGGCTTTTTAGCCCAAAAATCCTACATTCTTAACCAACTGTGGCAACAGAACTCGAGTATTCCAACAGAATGTAACTTCTCCAGCATTTCAGGGTCTTTGAAATGTTTGCAATAAATTCACTTTTGAGTTTTGAATTGATTAGATGGCAGTGGACACTGAGTTACTCAGGGGTGACACAGGATATTCACAAAGTTGCTTGATCCCACTGAAGAAACACAGTGCACTGCTCTTCTCTCTTTAGGGCAGTGTAGTATTGCTGCCCCCATTGCCAATCCAGAGTTGTAGGTGATTTTCAGCAGGTATACACTTAAAGGCTAAATTTCTTTGAGTAAATCAAGGTCACTGGCTAACAACTTAAAGGAACCTGTTTCAAGGACATTGGCTACTTGTCCACAGATACCTCACCCATAAAACTGGGTAAGATTTTAATTTTTTTAACACTACAGCAGTAACCTTGAGGCAGACATGTCTTATGTGTACATCAACAACATGATCTCAAGGAACACCTAAAGGCTAATGTGTTTTGCTAGAGGAATAATTTTATCAATTACGACTTCTAAGAAACAAATATAATGAATTATATTATGTCTTGTTCACATTATTTTAGTAAGTGTCAAACATTTTATCCAATTGTTATGGAAAGCATTCTGCAGAATTATACACTACCTGCAGCTCAGAATCACCCAAGGCAAACAATGCAAATTTGAAATATCAGAACACAGATGAGGAAAAAAGTCATTCACATGAGACAAAAGTGCATGCAATACTTTATTTCAAACATGCCAGAAAAGCTAATTCATTACCTAGTCATTTAGAAGCAAGCAGCTGTATACAGATAACAAGGAAAACAGCATCTCATTACAGCTCAATGCACAGCATTTTAAGCCAACAGGCATGAAATAATGCAGGCTAAAGCAGCATTAACCAGACATCCAAACACATTGTTAATGGCTTACAGAAAAAAAGGCAAACTTGGAAATGGAAAACCACTCCTATGATCTTGTTGTCTAAGATTTCAGAATGCTGCAAATCCAATCCAAATCTTTTGTCTAATCCCCTAAATCTCCCATTTTTGTGTCAGTTTAGCATTTGGAAGGTAGTGCATTACCACATATAGTGTGTGGAACTAGCTGTTTGTGGTTAATCTCAGGAACTACCTCCTTGACAATTACATTTAAAAAATTTTCAAGAAGAGCAGTGGGTTTAGGTTACAGACAGAGGATGCAATCCATGCCCTCTCACTCTGCCCACTTTTTAACCAAATGCACTTCCATTCACCCTCGTGGCAGTTCTCACATACACAAGGCAGCCTGCACTTAAAACTGGAAATGCCAATTGGAGAAGACATTTCAAGTATACTATTGAAGGACTTAAATCTTTCCAACCCTAACCATTAATGGTTGGACTCAATGACCTTAGAGGTCTTTTCCAACCTTAATGATTCTATGATTCATTTGTAAAGCAATGAACGTGTTCTCTCCTTCAGTGGCAGCAACCATTCAACTACTCATTAAGTGTTTTGAACATTTAATACAAATGTTCTAGCTTTAGATTTACCTAAGGAATTATCTTTGACCTGATCAATTCTGCCTTCCTCCTCTTTGTAAGTCACACTAATGTGCCAGTCTCAGAAAAGGATATTGGTATGTGCATCTTTAATTAAGCTGCACAGTCTGCATAGAATTGTGTGTAACATCATTTAATACTTGTGTGTATACACATTTCACATGATACTACTCTTTCACTAGTTTCTCTGTAAGTATTAACTTCAACTTCCATCTACAGGCTCTAAGAGCATGTTTAAATACCACCACAACCTATTTGAAAGATAAACACAGGTCAGGTAATGTTACAGTATAGGTGCTGCAGTATTTAGATGTTTAGCTCAGAAAATGCTACAGAATTTTTAAGCATAAGACTTCAAGCTTACACACAATAAAAAAAAGTTAAACCATATGCCAACAAGCACAAGTTTTGTTGAAATGAGACATGTGAAGAGACAACACTGTAAAACAGAGGGGGAAGAGGAAAGTACAACAGCAGAGAATGGTTGTGGCATTCTATAAGACTCAAGATGACTGGATTCAGCAAGCTGATGATAATGTTCTGTCATGAGTAAGTCACAGGTCTATCTCCTCTGAAATGCTGCATGCATGATGAATGAAGCCATTTAGTACACTGGTACATTAAAGTATTCATGACGTGGCTACAAAAGAAATGTACATATTCTTATACATAATAGAAAGGTGGACAGATATGCAAGAAAACAAAATATTATCTCACTATTGTATCTCTGACATTAAAAGGACATTTAGTGCAAAAATACTATCCTGTATTTTTGACTACTCTAGATTTTCAGGGGGTGAGGGATGGTGGTGGGGAGAACCATCATTTTCCCCCCATACCTGCATGCTGGGTCCAACAACACACAGAACAACTTCACATCATAGTTACTGTATTACATAAGCTCAGAGTTTCTTCTCAGCCAAAAAAATGCTTGAAGCCAAAACACAGCTCCAGAGACAGACCACCCTGTCTGCTGGCACCATTCCTGTCTCTACAGTAGACACTGACTGTTGGCTTCTCTCAGGGACAGGTACTAGACTAAGTGACCTTCTGATATCACCTACCACATCTGCTCTACTGCACACACACCTGGAGGTATCACAGCTCTAGAAAGTGGCTATGAGCAGCACTGTGCCAGGGCAGCACTGCAGCAGCATTACTTGTGACAAAAATTACTTTTTATAGAAAGTGTTTGTTTAAAAGCTGAGAGGTGTCTGATATGTCTCTCAGCAGGCAAAGTTTTCTTTGCTTTCAAATGCTGCTGCTGAACTCCATACACTCTTGTATGATTAGCATGAACAGTAGTATGCAATATGCTAGAAAGCAAACAACACTCAATTTTCTGTATTAAAATCAGAGCCCTGAAGACAGATGAGGACTTTTTAAATAGATTAATAGCAATTTAGGAGTATCATCCCACATATACCCATTACACATCTTTTGGGATGTCTAATGGGATGAAAACAAAAGAACACATAATTCAACGACCTGCATATCAGTTGTCATCTTTTGCTGTGTACCAATTACAATCTTCAGTCTATTTTAGTATCCCAGCCCCCAGAATTACAGAAGTCTTAGAACAGAACTGAGAAAGTTCCCATGACTTCTCAACCTAACAATCTCCTCTGTGCCATCTCAGATTATTCCCATGATCAAGCTTGCATATTTTTAAACTCTAACCTCAAATTACAAAAGAGCACAGCTAAATATCCTAGAAGCTTTTACAGTATTTATACAGCTTTTCAGTATCAGTAATTTGAAGATTTTTCCACAGTAGTTTGAATTATTCTGACCAAGTTAACCACAAATGCAGCAGTTCACAAAATAATAGCATATATATAACTCAGTGACAGCTGCAAATAAATTCTATGAAATCGGCTGTGATTTTTGTAGAATTCAAAGGAATCTTGTATATAACAGAATTACCAATGTGAATTTTAACTCTTAAAACTTCTTACACTGTGTAAGCCAAAAGTATCAGCTTACATTAAAAACAAAATGCTGAGGCATATTCCTAACTGGCAAAGGCATTGCATGATGGTAGTGTACAGTATTAGCCCCAAGGAGTAGGAGTTTTGACTAAAAAGAGGAAAGTATGGAGCATCCACAGACAAAACATTCCCAGAGAGGTCCTTGTGGAAAACTCCTACCTTAATTACACTGCTGGGATGGTACAGTTTCATGAAGACAACTGAAAAACTGGCATATTGTAACAATCTAAAATGCCCATTTTTTACTTGGAAAACATGCACACATGTGACTGATTCTCCTCCTCCTTGAAAAAAAACCCTGTCTTCCAGTGTTTCACCCCTGGAAACCTGGAGCCATCAAAGCTGGTGTCTTCACTGAAATGCCTGCCAAATCTTGTAACAGATTTCTCCCTAATTTTACATTAGCTTTCTGGACAGAAAGAAGGAGAGCAGCTCATTTTCCAGCAGTCTTATGAGTCTGATTACAATCCACTGTTGTTGTGTTCAAAGATTATTCCAGGCTGTGCACATTCATTAGCACAATCTTTGGCCTGGAAACACTGACCACATTCCCTTTTACAGAACTGGTATCAGCTAATTGGGACATAGGAGTGTTCATTTCATGATTATCCACTTGTAATCTTTCAGTACTTTCCAAACTTCTACTCTCCCACACAGCCCTGGGGTATTCCACACCCTGTTCATATTTTCAATGGTTTATAACTTGAGGAATTAGCTGTCTTTGATGTGAAAATCCCAGTATAAAAATTCGATGATTGACTCAAATTACTGTTACGGGATTAGTGCCTCATCTTGACAGAAACTTATTTTCTGATCAAGCAAGACAGATTTGCAGATAACAATTGGAAGAAAGTGGTTATTTTGCTCCTGAAGGCTTTTTAGTTTACAGAACATGTAAACACCACCTGCAACTAGACTAGCAATAAACTGACATTGTAGAGGTGAAACTAAAGGATTAAATGCAAGATAAGAAGAGGTATGAAGTGCTAACACAGCAATATTGAGAAGGAAAACACTGAAGTTTCAGGAAGACTTCTGTACCCCATTAAGGGCATCCCAGACCACCCCATGCAGAGGGCCTGGCACTGTGGGCAGCCTCACAAAACAACCAAAATGAAAACAAAGCTTTGACAAATTGTTTGTCATCAAAGAACTACACAAGCTCCAGCTATGAGTTTGGTTTTCTTCACTGTGTTCCCTACTACACTGTCTCCAGAGTAGTTGTCCTGCTGGCCTGAATACCAGAAAAGACAATCTGGGGAAGGGACAGATATCAAATTCCACAATCAGTATCTATACTACCTTGCCTTCCTTTTGTGGGACTCTGCAGACCTCAGGGACATGCTTCACAGGCTCAGAAGTTGTCTGAGATAATAGTCTAGGACTAATGAGTTTATAAATGAGTTGATCTAGCAGCTAGGCAAGAGGCAATGGTATCCTTACAGCACAATACAATGGCAAACTAACACAAAATATTCTCTGAAAAATAATCACATTAAAATATGTGGAGGTAAACCATTTATCTGACTATAGGTCTAAGATACTAGTTTTGCCAAAGCAGTGATAGCTCTACAAGAAAAGCTGCACATTGCAATTCCACAATGTTTTAAAGTTACCAGAATTCCTCTTTTTCAAACTGACATCTGTGTTTACAACTCATTTTAAAGAGCTAATAATACTCTGATATTGTCAGCCTGAGTCATTAGAGAATTTTAAATTAGAAAAATGGTAGAGTTGATTTGAGTAAACAAAACTATTTAGCTAGCTGAATCCAAGTGCCATTTTCTCAGCCAACTTTGTTATGACCCAATCTAATTAAAAATCATAACCAAACTAAAATTACAAGGAACTTCATTTAATCCAGTCCCCCAAACAGTCTACCTGTAACTTTCCTGAGGGTTATTTGTTCTGTTAAAGGCATCCAGTGATGCCTTTTTAATGTGCCCCAGGCACATTAAATGCTACATTGTCATTGCCACTGGAAAATTTGCCTAACACCTACTTTGAAATTATTTTCTTGCTGTAATTTTAGGTATTCTATTTCTGTAGTGAACAAGAAAACAGTCTATTTCCTCAGGCAAGAGAGAGACAAGAAATTATTTATGGCTACAGCAAACTGTCTCAAGTTCAATGTTTTGCAGAGCTGCCATTTTACTAACACCTCACAGCAGTGACAGACTTCAGGAATACTTGGCATGACTTCTTTTTCAGGGAAGGTTTGCTTAGGTTATTGTTTTAACTTCTTTCCCAGCAAAACCAGCAAAAAGCCTAGTAAGGCAAAGTCATGTTAAACTGCAGGCAAAAATTGCAATGCTACCCTTTGATAAAGACTTGGCTTTTTCCTCTCCTCCCAGCACCTAACAAAACCCTACCTAGAACAACAGACAAGTTGTGGGACCATGGAGTGTACAGAAGCTTGGGAAGAATTCTACAGAAACAGGCTACGGGGAAATCAGGGGGGATGAAAGTTTCTCTTTAGAAACATGAAGTTCTTACAGTAGGAAGAGATTAACATTTAACAAGCACTTCTTTAGCAATGCTTCAGAAGCAATTACTTTTACACTCACCTCCTGAATCTTTATTAGGAAATGAAAAGCTGCTTTAGGAAATTGTTGCTATTTTCAAGGATTTCAAAACAGGAGTATCTGTATCCTAATCTTTGGCTAGCTAACTATTCAGAAACTCTAATTAGATAGAAGGGTTTGAGTTGGAAAGGATCTTTTAGACCACCTAGTTCCAACTTTCCTGCCGTGGAGAGGGACATGTTCCAGAAGACCAGGTTGCTGTGCCCCACCCAGGCTAGCCTTGAATACTTCCAGGGATGGGGAATGATTGGGAAAATTCTATTTTACTTTCAAAGGAGAGCAAAGTGTTTTCTCAGAGCACCTAGAAACACCCATGATGTCTTGAACATCTTCAAAGACAAGTATTAACTATGATGCCCTTCAAAAACAAAGAACAATACTATATCAATGCCAATTCCAAGTCAAGATCTTGTCTGCAGCTTCCTATACAGAGAAAACAAAATTAAAAAATCTTCCAGATCGGTGCAAATTTGTCAACACAATTCTCAACTAGAGTCTGAGACAGCAACAGCTGTCATGCAAGTGTGATTCAGCAAAACATCCTAGTGTATGCACTTTGGCTGTAAAACATCAGCTCAATAGCCCAGAGCAGAAGGGAATGACTGTTCGTCCCTTAGCTCAGCAGTGACCTGCCTGCCTCCCTCTCAAAACAGAGGTAAAAATATCAGTCGAGACTTCGTGTACTGTAACTGGATAATAGTGAGTGCTTCCTGCTGCCCAGCTGCTATTCTGATCTGCGGATCAGAGGTGATAATCGCTCCGGGGGGCACAGCTTTATACCTGCCAATCCTGCTGACAGCCCAACCTTTAAGGGGAAGGATGGTTCTGACAAGCCACCGGAGGCTCCACTTCACCTCCACAAAAACAAGAATGCTTTAAGCACATACTAGAGCTGAATACTTTGTATTGTGAAGTTAAAGCCAAAATTATTAAAACTCACTGAGTTCCCTATCAGATAATCCCACAGTGCCTGGCCAACTGCCAAACTACGCACAGAAGGGTTCATTAATGCTTTCCTCCAGCACTGCAGATACAGGTTTGCATTACTTATTCCCCTCTGCTTA